CTGCTGAAGTAGCAGCAATAAGCACAGTTAGCTCAGAGTGAACAAGTACCTGCTTAGAAAGACAGTCATATTACAGGCACAAGCTCAAGGCTTCCTCGTTATGAAAGGCTTATCTTCTTATCCCAGTTACAAGTACAGATATTATGTAGTGCCTCATCTCCACCCATCATGGATTAAGGATTCAGTAGGCAAAAAAGAGACAAGAGTTGCTTTTCTCTACAACCAGAGACTGTCACTTTTCACAGCCTGCATTGTGAAAATGCACTTGGAAAAATATTTTTGACCAGACCATTCACAAGTCCAGTTAAAAAACTTCTCAGCACCTTCACACCCCCTTCCTGATCCCTGAATCCTCCATTCAGGAAATTTAATTTAGGGATCAAAATCCCTTCAGATTTTTGAACTGAAATGTTTTCACTCCAAAAATCAGTGTACTTCTCTACTTTATGTATCCATCATCACACACACAAGGTTTCATTTTAAAAAATAAAGCACCAACATGACCTCAGTTGTGATCCTCTGTCATGCTATACACTGCCCACAGTCTTAGGTCTATGATCACACACCACTGCTTTGGCACTGAGCAAGCTACAAGAGTTTTCACTGTGTGGGTTTGAGAGCTCCTCCTACGTTCAGGAACAGCAATACGCAGCAGGGGGACTATGTGGACTGCAAGGAAGGACAATTAGTCCCTCTAGCCTCATCCAAGCAAGAGAGCAACATCACCATTTGCAGAGGTATGGACGAGCACAGGAAAACCCGTTATTCTTACCTCCCATGGCTTCAAAATGAACTTTTTAGCTAACCACCTGCTAGACTTCTTGCAGCAACAATACTGAGCAGTGCAAGTCTGAGTGAAAACAACTATTACAAGGAGCATTTCCAGTCAGTGGCTATTTTGTTTTAAATTAAGCTGAGGGGTATGCTAGAGTTAACCATAGCTAACCAACAGAACAACTTGAAAACAGTGAAGCATCACTACAAAGCAGCTTCCAACACTTGACCAACTGTGTAAGATGATGTGAACCTCATGTCAACCACTCAGCTTGACAAGCTTATATGCTGGTGCAGACAGAATCCTTACATCCCTGGATACAATGAAAAAAAAAAAAATCATTACTACTGGGATCTACCCATTGTTCATTAATCCACAGTCAGTTCAAGACTAACTACACTTCTTTGAAGAATTCTATGAAAACTTTCAGATGCAAGAAGACTTCTTGTGTTTATGCTTCTAAATGCTACCTCCAGCTGCCATGATTTTCAACATGAGTGACCAACAGCTGACAGCTAGAGAAACTTGGCCTTATGAAGGAATTTGAGCTCTAATGGCATTTTGCAGGGATACTGTTGTTTTGGTGGAATGCCAAAACAAAAAGCACTAGAACCAAGGTTTCATCATCACTTCTTCCCTCCCCAGTATCAACAAGATGTTGCCAGCATCCTGCACTTACAGTTCCTTTTAAGCAACTCCTGCTCACAGATGTTACAATCATTCCTCCTAGATCCTGTTCCAAATAACAAACGGATGAGCCACTGCTGCAAACCAAATTCCTTTCATCACCAAAATCACAGGCTTCAAAAATGTAAACTGAAAAAGTCCTTTTAACTTTTCAATCCTAAAAAACAGCACACTGACATCTTTTAGATAGAAATACTTCTGCTTAATATGCATATCTTGCATAATTAACTTCATTAATAAAACCAAGATGATACACTCAACTCCGAATTTCAAGTCACACTGTTACTATCATCCATGGCAAAGTAAGAAGAATCTAGGGATGTGCAGAACTAAAAAAGCTGCTTACTACTGCATGCACTGATAACACTAAGACCTGCACCAAATTTAGTGCCCTGCCATACTGTGGGGCAAGTACAAATTGATCTACCATCCCAATCCAATACGGGGCTGAAAAGAATATGAATCATCTTCATGTCACATATGAGCAACAGAAGTAAAGGTATCAGGTGACTGGTCATCATAGAAACTTGAGACTAGAGTGTGTTTTTCTTGAGCTCATTATCACGTCAAGGCAAAGTTGTCTAACTTCCTGTGTACTGTGTTCAGTAATACAGTAACACAGAAAAGATCTGATACTATATCGCATGCAATATGCTATCCTATCAATATGCAAGGTAAAGCCTCTCAGTTTCCCTCATGAGGCAATCAGGTAACAAAACGGGTCAAAGCAACTTAGCACTTCTCATTAAATCACTGGCAATACCACATCACAGAATCACAGAATCATCAAGGTTGGAAAAGACCTACAAGTCCAACCATCCACCCATCACCAATAGCTCTCACTGAGCCATGTCCCTCAACACAAAATCCAAACGTTCCTTGAACACCTCCAGGGTTGGTGACTCCACCACCTCCCTGGGCAGCCCCATTCCAGCACCCAACCACTCAGAGAAGTAGTATTTCCTAACATCCAACCTGAATCTCCCCTGGCACAACTTGAGGCCATTCCCTCTAGTCCTATCACTGGTTATATGAGAGGCCAATCCCCATGGCACCACAACCTCCCTTCAGTTACAGACGGTGATAAGGTCTCTCCTGAGCCTCCTCTTCTCCAGACTGAGCAATCCCAGCTTCCTTAGCCACTTCTTGTAAGGCCTGTGCTCCACACCCCTCAACCAGCTTTGTTGCCCTTCTCTAGACATGCTCCAGAGTCTCAATGTCCCTTTCTTGCACCAAGAAAATCACCAAGCTACCAGAGAATAGCTGCCACCAAGACGAAGTAATAAGAATGAAAGATGAAGGATTTCAGAAGCAGACATTTGACTTCACATTCCTGGCTCTCCCACTGACCATTTATACAGCTTGAGTAAAATAAAAAAGCAAACACTTGTTATGTTTTGTCGGATGTATTGAGCATGGACCAAGATGCTGCACTTTAAAGAACTCAACAAATCCACACAGCATATTATGTACCAAGTCAGTGACCTTCCTTGGCACCTCTACGATTACTCAGATGAATGATCAGACTCAAGAGAGTCATTTGGAGGATGTGTCTCCAAATCAGCTGAGATAACAGACCCTTAAAAAAAAACCTGGCATCTGGGGATATCTGGCAGGATCTCTATCGACCTCACAAAACTTGAGTTAGTAGAAGGGCATTTCTTTCTCGGAGGACAATAAGGATTGAATGAATTGTTAAGCACACACTCACCCCAAAAAAAAAATCTGTAAAAGGATAGTAACCAAGTCAGGACACAGACTGCCAAAACTCATGGTGATAAACAAAGAAATAATTATAAATAAAGAATGATCAGAGAAAACAAGATTCCCCTCCACTGTGTCCCAATGCAGCTGTCAGATATTCTCTAGAGACACATGCATCAGAAAACTTGCCTTAGGTAGAATTATGATTTAGCAAAACAGAGACAATAACAGATTAAAACTTTAATTTAAAACTTCGCCAACAAAATGTGATTACAAAAAGAGAAATTATCTGTACAAAATAAGAAAGGAGGTACTCATTTAGCAAGAGACTGCCATTCTCAGTGTACACTAGAGGACAAACAGTGCTTCAGGTCAAGTGGCAAGCGAGAAATGAATCAAGTGAATTTACAATACGGAATTCTGTAGTGAATCTTCCATACCAGCAATGTAAATTGACTTGAAGCAGCTCAGAAGCAAACCAGGACTCATTAAAAGTGTATCTTCCTTGCAAATCCCTTTCCTCTTAATTTACAGAAGGTGGATGCACTACAGCTGAAAACAGTGCAACGCACAGGGCCAGGACAATGACTCTTGACATGTTTCCTCCCACTCGTGCCCCCTTTATGGCCTTCTGTAAAAAGATGTGCAACTTGAGTGTACCAGAATTTAAGCTGAGTCACAACCTACTGCATCTTCACTTAGCAGTTAGCTCCTGACTCAAAAAGACAAGATATCAGCCTGGAGACAGTGATGTGATTATTATAACTAAGAACATCAGCTGCATCATGACTCCTATAAAACTGATGGTTCTGAAACTTCTGAAGTTAGCATCAAATAACAGGTGTTGGTCAACAACAGATTAGTATTTACAACACTGCAGTACTCTTTCCCGCCCACCACTGTAGATAAAGACAGAGACAAGAGCATCTTTAAAACTTACAACTATATAGGCAAAAATGGCAGGTGATTTCCAAACTCCCAAGTTCCTGTAATTCAAAGCACATACTGTGACTCTTATCACTTTTCTACATTCGCTCACATGTCTGATCATCAAAAGGGAGTTGCAATAAAGTAATGGAGCATGCATATTTTTCAGGCAAGCTGGCTGAAATCTTCTAACCAGTTTCATATCAAATAGTATTTACAAGTTTATCAACCTTCATAATCCAGATTTAGTAAAGGGGGGGAAAAAAACAAGTAATAAAAATGTTTTGGCCCAGATTCACATCACTTACTTGTAGATACCTGAGATACGCAAGTTGGAGCAGAACAGCCTTCTGTGCCCTGCCTACCCAGTAAAATGGAAAACACTAAAAGTCTTTGGAAGTTCAAAGACTCCAATCTCATCCTAGAAAAGTGACAGTACTCCTTTTTCTCCGCTATAGGAAAAAAAAAAAAATGATAACTGTATTCCAACTTACGAGTCTTGGTTAAATTTCGCACAGTTGCATTGCTAGCTTAAGCGTTATTCACTTGACCTTAAGCATTATTTTTTTTCCACTAGCAGCTATGACCCAAGAACACTGTGGGGTGCCCACTTTTTAAGAATCCTATGAGAGATGCACGAGTCCTCTTCACCACTGGAAAAACTGAGATAAGTAATGTGTGCTCAAATTCATAAAGTGAGAAAGTAGCTAGTCAGCATTACAGCTTCCTGGATCTCAGCCCTGTGCTCTGCCTACAAGAATCCAGTACTAGGAAAACTACTGTACAGAATCATTCCCTCTCCATGTCAAAAAGATTCACCAGAAAAACTGAGATACTAATAAGCCGTGTACAGTTCCTCATTCAACAATGAAAGAATCCTGTAGTAAAAAAAAATAATAATCTATTATATCTTTAACCTGGAAAAGTTTATTTCCAGCTTTGATTCTCTGACCTCTTAAAGCTTTTAAGAAAAAGTTGTAGATTCAGTTATTATAAACATAATGCTGCACTGAGTACCCTTTATATTAACCACAGTATGCTACATTTTCTAGTTGTAAGTTACTGTCTGTAATACCCGATTTTACAATCAAAACAGAAAGCCAGAAGCCAAGAACTTAGAAGATCTCAGGAGAAGAAAAAAAAAAAAAAAAAAAAAAACCCAAAGAATTCAGGCAGCTTCAGTTCAAACAGAGCAAGCCTTGGACATGCCATGAAAAATTAGAAATTTCAATTGTGTGAATATCTGCAACTGCCATTTGAAATGAAAGCCCTCTTATTCTTAGTCTTGCACATCTCATGCTGTATCGGGTTGGACATATGCTGCATGACAAGAGAAAACTGCTCTCAAAAATACAGCTTAATAATGGAAACAAACATTTGCACTTTACTTTATGAATGCAGCACAAAAATATCACTTAATGTTTCGAAAGACCCCAGGACTTAAGCACAGCTATGGAAAAAAAATCAGCTTCCTAGACATTAGGGTTAGTTTGATCCATCTGTCATACACTGAATTCTTGACCAACAAAGCTTTTAACAGGCGAGACAGAACATCAGTATATTTTTCCATCACAGCACAGAACAAGATGGCAAAAATGGAAGCCTGTTGTGACAGACAGACAAGACTGTACAAAGGCAGCTTATTTTTAATGGCAGAATCAAGTCTGACACTACTGGCTAGCCTGGAGTAAGATCTATGTTTTCCCTTCTGAACATTTTTCTTAATTTTCTCTTGCACCAGAAAAATTGTTCCAAAACAGTAAAATCCAACAGCACTACAGAGAGCTCAGTTCTTTAGCAAGCTCTGCACCAGGAAGGATCAATCCTACAAGCAAATAAAACCAAAGAGTTGCTGTTTCCCAAGGGCAGGAGGAGTTTTTTCACTGGTCACCCAGCCGGAAACCTTGACCCCAGTTGTGTCTTCCACCACCCTGCTGATCTTCTGCAGCTCTTCTCATGCTAGCAGGTGGGATTCCAAACCCTGACACTCCTCCTCTCCTGTTTGGCAGCCAGCGGTACCTAGGAGAAGCCAAAAGAGAGAGTTTGAGAAAGAGTTGTATCTTGGGAGTAATTACCAGAATACTTTCCTATGCACTCCTTTTACCTGCTAGGCTTTGCAATAAAACTACTTTTTGAAAGCAGTACCTCACAGAATTCTTTTACTGTACTGAGGGCTTAAAATTGGAAAGAGGAACTCTGGGGAGCATGCACCTTTAGGATATGTTCATATATAATAATCCAAACAAAGGGAAAAGATGCATAATACGAATTGACTCACTGTTGAGAATAAACACTGTGATATAAACTTGATTCCCTGAACTCCTTTCCCTTTTCCCCCCCGAAGAAGTAATAAAAAAAATCCAAATTAATTCTGAGCATCTCTCTCTCCAACTGTTACAAAGCTACAATTATCTCACTGCTCTCTAAATAACCCTTCCTGAGGAACTGCAGACCAAAGGCTCTAAGCACCTACTTTGATTAAGTCAAAGTTTAAGTGACCTGGACAGCACAAACTGGGGCTGTAAGACCACATCATCCAACTCAGACTACCACTGAAATGTAATGTCCTAAAATACAGCTTTTCTGCAGATGTCAATCCAGGGTGCTATCAACGCAGAGTTGCTTCAGCTCTATAATAAATAGTTAGCTATAGCTCCTGTGAGGTGCAATTGTAATTCAACTTTGCATCTTCTAACCTTCTTATAGGGCAAACCCTTAACTAACCACATCACTGACTGAAGCTTGGTAGAGAAAGAATATTTACAGCTCAAATGGATGTGGTCACAAGGAATTGAAACTGCAGTCTTTGGCTTCTGATCTCAATATTCCAGTGCCAAAACAATGAATAGGTTACAAAAAGAGCACTTCAGAATCCAAGACTTGAATTCTCAGCCAGGGTTACTGATACCAACTGCAGAGCAGATACACATAAAGGCACCCAACAAATCTACAACAGATTTCTGTCATTATGTATTGCTTAACTGGTAGTTACTGTAATGATACATGGAAATAGAGAAAAAGGTTGTTTACAGGAAAAAATAATTTAAAAAGAATCCGATGGATACTGTTTGATAATTGGCAGTGAGGTTTCTTTGCTACTGTTTAATTCACTAGGAGAGGCATAGCTTTTCCTCTCACTCTCAAGAGTGGGTATGGAATACAAGTAATCCATTGGGAAAACAAGGAACACTGACCATCTACAAGAAAAAAAAACATTTTGATGACTCAATCTGTACACAATATCACAGCCTTTAAATGCTGAAGCACGTTCATTTAACAAAATATTTTACACTCTGCAATCCCAGAAGATATACGTCCTTATAAACAATCCAGAAAACTGGCCCAAATAAACAGTGAGCTATAGTATAAAGTCAGCTTACAAGAATTGAGGTGTGGACAGAAAATTCCTTCCTCCCAGATCCATTGGGTATTTAAACATTAGGAAGAAATACAGGTGTCCAACCAGATTTCCTATGAGCTCATTGATGACTCTGCAAGGAAAAAGAACAAGCACAGTTTTGCAGGCCGTTTTCCCCAGAAATAAAGGAGTGCTCATCTTCTGCCAGTTACTATTGTTCACCTGCCACAGGCACTGCCAGCGCCGTGAACCACAGAAATTTCCCTTCCCTCAGCATTTTGCAACCACTGCTTTAGAAGGGCCAGCATTCAGTGCCAATGCATCCACAGGCTGTTCCAGCCTCCCTTCCAAGCACTCTCACAGACTGTACTGAAAATGCAATTAAATGCTTGTTTACTGCAGAGAATTAGACCGTATAGCCATTAGTGTCCTAAAATAATAGTTGGTAGAGCTTGAGAAGTTATTGCTGTTTTTGCTGGACAACCTGTCTCCTGCTGTACTGTTTTGTTCCTAATTTTGCAGGAACACTGCTGAATGGAGGCCCTTGAGTATTTTCTGTCATGCATAGAAACAGCAGGTATCTAGCAAGCAGCCTTCTCAAGTAACGGATGAGTCAGTAGGAGGCACAGCCAGAAAAGGGAATTGGTTTTGCCCTATTCCCATCTCCTCCTTTTATAAATCAACCATGCAACTCGCTGTTGTCATTGTGTTACAGCGGCACCAAGCGGCCACAGCCAATACTGGGCACTAATAGGAAACTGCACACAGAGATCTCTGCATCACTGTTTGCTCAGAGAAATGCCAAACAAGCCAACAGAGACAGAAAGTGCTAATATGGCACTCCACAGGCTTGCAGTCGCCATTTCTTCGTGTTTTGCATGCTGATAAAAGCAGCACATTGGATGAGATTCTGATGGAAAGAAGAAACACCACTTAGAAGATTCAAATTATGTTTGTTCCCAAAATCAGCAGTAACGGCTGGTCTTACAGGATGAAATCTTTCTTTACTGGGCATTATGCTCTTAGTAAGGAAATGGCCAAATGCACAGATCTACCAGACCAATCAAATTATTACTATTTTCTCCTCACCTACGTTCTCTAGGTCTCATGTCCACATCTCCTCTTTGCATTACCTTAGACAATCACCATACAACACTGACCAGGACCAGACCAATTATACAGCTTTGAGCCTCTTATTTTAGTAACGCTGCTGATGAGTGACAAGAGAGAGCTGTAAAAGACTTCATAACTTCAAATAGGTCTTATCTGTAAATACATACGATCCTCCAATGATGTAGTTGAATCCCAGAATAACCCATGGAAGGTAACAGGCCTGAAAAAGAACAGGGATACATAAATTGTATGTGCAAGCGTGGAATTTGAACCTGCTTAAGATCCACTGCACTGCTAAGTATGATTAGAATCCTAATGTTTTAGCACTGCACAGATCTTGTTATATTAACTTAAGTAGATTAGAACCAAAAAGGCGGTCACTCTAGCCTGAGCAACCACTAATGTGCGGACAAATCAAACTTGTTTTAAGTAGATACATCTTCTGCCATCTACATTCCATGCCATCTGAAACAAAATCCTAATATTTCTAAATTTAAGAGGGTCTGGAAACAACAATCAAAAGAGTTTTCATCACAAGACCTCGCAGAAACAAACCAACCTGCACAGGAAAGAGTAATTTCAAAACATTTTCTCAATACTGTTCAGCTTTTAGTTGGATTTTCCCTCTTTTGTTCAGACCAATGAATTTCAGTTGTCACTCAATAGAGTGGCTTTACTGAAGAGATGTCCTCACATAACATGGAAGACAATGAAGAGAACTGTCTTTGTTGCATCTCAAGGAGTATATATCTTCATGAAAGCATAGGACATCCTTAATTGGAAAAAATACTTCCATTTTGTCCCTCATTGCCTTTGTAAGCATATTCAAGGCAGAAACCTTTCCAATAATACGATTTACCTTAAATCTTGTTCCAAACCAAAACGATACAATCATGTCTCTGTTCAGCTGGGCCCACACATAAAGAACAGACATGATGAGCGGAATCATCAGCAACTGCAATGTTAAAAAGACAAAAAGTTACCATCAATTTCACTGAAGTCTGAGAAATTTCAACAGGCACCAGAAGTTCTAAGGTTTAAAAGCATGATATATCATCAAGTGTTGAAAGATTGCCTCAGAATGTTCACCATGTGCCATGCATCTGCACACAAGATCAGAAAGCTAAGCAAGAGAACACAGACATTCTCTTTTGCTGTGCTGGAAAATATTCTTAACGAAGACAAGGTCCCCATTAGGTTACAGTCTAAGACAGCTTTGGTGAGCCTGTAAGCCCAAACAGGTGGTGCAATTTGTGATAAGGTACAAAATTACCAAGTCACATATTAAAAATAGGTTTGCCCTGAGTGTCTGACCAAACATTACTTCACTTCTAACATGTGCAGTCCATGCTTCAGGGTAGCAACAGCATCACAAGACCAAGACTCCAAAGCAACTACGTGGAACAATAAGCACTGGTCCCAGCTCCTGGTACCACACCTACAGCAACCAGCACCGTTTGTGCCACAATCATCTCCATGTACGATCCAAGGCACAACCCAAACACGTACTCATCTGAGACTACTCTAACATGCCAGAGAAAGGGCTCCTGCACATGATTTCCAGTCCTGTGTCTCTCAGACCACCACCGAGGGGAGGTGTGCCAGCAAACCACCACTGTGAAGTACCACAGCCAGGCACGGCAAAATCACCTTGGTAGAGCTTGGAGCCAACCTCTGCTCCATGTGAGGAGAGTATTTCACATACTTACACAACTGTGCATGAGCTGATGGGATTCTTTTTGGTGAAACAAATAGAATATTCTATTACAGCTGTCTGCTGATTTCTAAACTGGAGAATGCACCATCAATAGTACAAAACAGCCTGAGTGATTGGAAGAGATGATAAAGCACACTCCTTCAAGAGTGGTACAGTCAACAGGTTCCACTGAAAGCAGCCTTTCCCAAGTTATACCAGCACTTTGACTCTCCATACCAACACCTTAGGTTCATTATTAAAATGATTTTTATTTCACTGAAAAAGTTTCTGAATGTAACTGAAAGGGAGACCAGTCGTCCTATTCTATAATCTCATTTTCCAAGCAAGCCACTCAACACAAGGGAAAACTCCATTCTAACAAAAACACATTTATATCCCAAACAACCTTCTTTTAAGCAATATCTTGTGCACAAATTTAAAAAACATTTTATCTTTCTTTTTTAACAAAAAGATACAAATCAATGCAGTCAGTCTAAAATTTCTAAAATGTGATTTCAGCACTCTTTTGTAAAAAAAAAATAAAAATAAAATTGGATCCTTCTCTATAACAAAAAATAAATAAAACAAAGTAAATGTAAAATTATTAACAGCCCTAAACTGAAGTAAATCGTGATTGCAAATGCATGATTGCTATGTCTATCTATGAAAGGAGCCTAAGGAACAATCTAATAAACAGTAAGGTAATCTTGTATAGAACTGGGGATATTGGTGTGAGCTTCGTGTGATGGGAACAGAAATAAGATGAGGATAACAGCAAAGATGCTGAAGACATGCAGTTACCTGACACAACTGCATTCAAGAAATGTTTCTCTTATTCCCTCCATTTTAACATTTGGGCAGAAAAGAACTCCCTCACTGAAGCTGGTCCTTCAGTCTGCTATTTAACCATTCCTGTGAGCATTTTGCACTTCACAGTTCTGATACGAATCTGAAGCTGCATTTTGTACAATAAAGTCTTCAGTCAGCAAATGAAAGGAATGAATTTGAGAAGACTAGCCTAGGAACCACATTTAACTAGAAGAGTCAAAATACAGAAACACAGTCATTAGAGGAAACTGTATATATACTGCCAAAAATATATATATACAGCCAAAATATTTTGATATAAACTAAAATAACCTAGCTTTAACTGTGTTCTGTGGTCATGTGGATAACACTGCCTGTAAGGCTGGTAAATAGCAAGAAAACCGAAGAATATTACCTAAAAAAGCTGCACTGCACTTACCTGCATGTCCATTGCCAAGCCAGTTATCTGCCATTTTACCATTAAGGAAAGAGCAGCAGACAGACAAAAAGAAGCTATGAACAGAATGCATTTAGCAACTCACAAACACACAACATGGCACCAAGGTTTTGCCTACATCATGCATTCAGCTTGCTGCCTTACACCACGTATGGAACAAGCACTTGGAATCTTTCAAAATGACGAGTCAGAAAGTCAAACCAGTAGATTCATCTCATAGTCCACAGCCAGCAGACAATAACCACAGTAATGCAGATGGCTTTTTAGCAGCACAGGTTGTTTTCCTAGTTACAGCTGTGGCTCAACAGGACTAGCAGGAATTCCCTCCATGCAGTGGAATGTGACTAGAGATGGTTCATCTATTGATAAAAGGTGGCATTTCTACATAATAGTTTTACAATAGTTTTCTTGACTGCATCTTGTTTACATTGGTGTTAACATTCACTCTTTCCTACATGTTGTGCCACTGCAAATTGCTGCAAGGAGGCTGGGAAAAGCACCAACAGAACAGGAATGGCTCCAAGGATGGAGGTTCCAAAACCTCACCATACAACCTCTGACATCTGATCAGTGCCACAGTAAAAAGGTTATTTCTTGCATCTAAATAGAAAATCTGTTTCATTTCGTGCCTGTTTTTTTTCTCATCACCAAGGATGAGAGAAATCTGCCTTTTCCTTTACTCCCTCCCCCATCAGGTAGTATCCATACGGATGAGATATCCCTAAACCTTCTCTTCTCCTGGCCTGAACAGTCCTAGCTCTCTCTGCTTTTCCTCATGTGACACATGCTTTTGTTCCTTAATCTTCACAGCTCTTCACTGGAGCTGCTCCAGTACATCCAAGTCTCTCTTGTACTGGAGAAGTACTGAAAGTTCTGCATCTCTTATAGCTGGGCTGCATGCAGCCCCTCAGTCTTCCCACCAAAGCTGAGCAGAGCCTTTCCCCTGCGGGAAACACGTTGCTCAGTGCAGCCCAGGAGGCACTCAGCCACAAGGGCACATTCCCAGCTTACAGTCCAACTGGTGACCACCAGCACCTCCAAGTCCTTTTCTGCAAAGCTGCTTTGCAAACACCAAGTCCCCAGCCTCTTCTAGTGCATGAGGCTGCTCCCCATGGGCTATACTGAGCTTCATGAAATTCCTGATCAGCCCATTTCTCCAGCCTGTCAAGATACCTGGGAATGGCAGCACAACCATCTGGTGCAACAACTCTCAGTTTTATATCCGAGATCTAATGAAAATTCAGGTAGAACAGCACAGCTCAGGGCTGTTCCCAGCATTCCTAGACCAACAAATCCAGCTTCTTCAGGAAGTCTGCCAGAGAAGCTATTACAATACTGCTCTCACAGCCTTAGCTGCCTTGCTCCCAGCAGGTAAGGGCTCTTTTTGCAAGATACCCCTGAATTCCACTGAATATCACTATTAGGTCTCCCTGGAGCTTTCTCTTCTCCAGGCTGAACAGCTCCACCTCTCTCAGCAAATTACAAACTTGTGTCAGTACATACATTAGCATTCTCCTGCAAGCCACCTGTTACCTTTCCAAGAAGACAGAAGCTTACAAACATTTCTACACTTTAAAACTTAGTTGCTAAGAGCTGGTCTTTAAGACAGAAATCAGAGAACCAAAATACTCCAGAAGATGAACAGAAGGATACAACAATGCAGATCCAGTTAAACAGAAGCATGAACATGTAATCTGCAGGTCTTCCATCAAAAGCCCCTGTAAACAGAAAGAATTGTTAGGGATGGTACAAACTCATAAGAAATTACAACTCTACCTTTAAAAGTTTTAAGAAATCTTCAGCAAATAAGAGTTATTCTACATACCGTCAATGGCTTATGATTTTTAGTTTTTAATTTTTAAAAGTCTTAGAACAACAGTAGGAAGCAGAACAACAATAGGAAACAGAACAACAATAGGAAGATGTACTTACACAGCAACAGCACAAATGCAAAGTTTAACAATCAAGTCATGTGAAAACCAGTCCAGTTAAGCAAATCATGTCCTCCTTACATCACCAAGATGGTTTTACACTCCAGAAAGTTACTATACTATGACAGACATTACACATGCATTCAGTACCTTCTTCCAAGGAGAAACACTTGCCTAATTTCCCATTCCAAATGGGTGTCAACATTTTCCAGGACAAAAAAAAAAAACAACAACCAACCAACAAACAAACCAAAACAGCAACATTCCCTGCAGATGATATAACATTAAATTATCTTTAGATGCACAGAGTTTATGACCTGGCAAAGAGAGGAGTTAAAAACACAAAACTCCCAAGTCTGGTAAGATGCTGGCAGAATCCTCAGCATCTGAGCTGAATTCCTATCAACCTTCATATAACTTCATTCAGGCAAAAAATACCCAGGAATACTGCTGACACAGACCCACAACCCAGCAGCAAAAAGTTCATCACAAAAAAGCTGATTTCACAAAATCACAGAATCACCAAGGCTGGAAAAGACCTACAAGATCACCCAGTCCAACCATCCACCTATCACCAATAGCTCTCACTGAGCCATGTCCCTCAACACAAAATCCAAATGTTCCTTGAACACCTCCAGGGCTTGTGACTCCACCACCTCCCTGGGCAGCCCATTGCAGTGCCTGACCACTCTTTCAGAGAAGTAGTATTTCCTAATGTCCAGCCTGAATCTTCCCTGGTGCAGCTTGAAGCCATTTCCTCTGGTCCTATCACTGGTACACGAGAGAAGAGGCCGACCCCCAGCTCACTACAACCTCCCTTCAGGTAGTTACAGAGAGCAATAAGGTCTCCCCTGAGCCTCCTCTTCTCCAGGCTGAACATTCCCAGCTCCTTCAGCCTCTCCTCATAAGCCCTGTGCTCCAAACCCCTCACCAGCTTTGTTGCCCTTCTTTGAACCAGCTCCAGGGCCTCAATATCTTTCTTGCAGTGAGGGGCCCAAAACTGGACACAGAACTTGAGGTGCGGCCTCACCAGAGCTGAGGACAGGGGAACAATCACCTCTCTGCTCCTGCTTGCAACACCGTTCCTGATGCAAGCCAGGATGCCATTGGCCTTCTTGGCCACCTGGGCACACTGCTGGCTCATGTTCAGCCGAGCATCAATCAATACCCCCATGTCCATTTCCTCTACAGTCTTCCAGCCACTCTGCCCCAAGCATTGCCTGGGGTTGTTGTAGCCAAAGTGCAGGACCCGGCATTTGGCCTTGTTGAACCTCATCCCATTGGCTTCAGCCCAGCAATCCAGCCTGTCCAGATCCCTCTGCAGAGCCTCGCTACTCCCACGAGGATCAACACTTCCAGCCAACTTGGTGTCATCTGCAAACTTACTGAGGGTGCACTCAATGCCCTCATCCAGGTCTTCATTAAAGATACAGAAGAGCACAGGCTCCAACACTGACCCCTGGGGAACACCACTTGCGACCAAATTTACAGACTAAACTTTTGACTTCTGATTTACACACCAAAACATCCAAAAAGACAGAGTGCCACTGTTTAATCTTAGCACTTTGTGGCTTCCTGTATCTGTTTCACATTATTCGAGTTTAGCCATGCATGTTACACAACAGGTGGGAAAGAAGAAAGAAAAACCTTTAAAAAACTATTTGGGCAAGTTTGATATTTGAAGAACAACATAAAACTGAATTTTCTCCTCATTGTTGCCATACAACAAGCCAGTGAAGTGCTGCAGACTCACAGTCCCATTGTTCATACTACTGTGAACTCCACATATTCCCATTGCTGTTTCTCTGATTAAATTTGTCATGTTCTTCTCCAATGGAAACAAACAAAAAACACATCAATCTCATTTCCCTCAGGAAACTAAACATCAGCTTGTTAGGAAGACAACTACAATATAAAATCACATGGATTTTTTTCCCCCAAGTTAAATCTCCTCCCCTTTAACTTTGAAGTTACTATGCAACACCTGTGTACTCTCAAAACTCACGTGCAACTCTGAAAATAATAATCTTTATTCCTCAGTTTAGTAATAGATCTATGCCAATGTCAACCTGTAAACATATTACCAGGAGTTTACACACTTCGCACTATCAGAAGTGCAGAAGGATCCAAGATTTTTTTTGTAGAAAGACTGACATAATCAAGAACTTTATACCAGAAAATTTACTGTTAAAATATGGTGAAATGCTTTGCTTCACACCACAGAACCACAGCTGACTTCCCAGTTTCAAAATACATGTATGTAGTGCAGGTATGTAAATTTATTGTTGAAATCAGACTTCTTTCCAAGAGACTTCTGCCACAGCACAACTAGCACATATATATATATATATATTTTTTTTTAAGAATATGTCCAAGCAGTGATGTCTTACAATCCCCTATATTCATCATGAACTCTCATTCCATATAGCTTTGCACAATTTAATGTCATAACTGTCCTTACTCACTTACAAGCATGTGTTTATAACCTTCCACCAACAGACAAGGAACCACTTCTAGTTACTAAACTACTACTACTTACTTTAGTTAAGAAACAACCAAATACAATACTGCACCATGGCCACACTCATTTATTCCCCTGTTATTCTTCTTATGACTCAAAAGGTATCCCACAAGATTCTCCGGAAGACAGGTTGATAGGGGAGCTCCCTACAGCAGGTTTTCCATAATTCCCCCCCATCTTGCAGTGCATTTCCACTTCAACCATCAGCTTTGGGATTCCGTTAGTTAATTAATATGACTCTTTTTTCCATTGTCTGATCTGCCTTCTACTCTCAAAAACCAACTCGTTCCTTAACTTTTCACATTTCTATTTGACAGAAGAGTATGCTTCATTTGTAGAGGATCTCTCTCAATTCGGAATATCCTACAGAAGAATACAAGTAAGAATCTTTGCCTTTAAAAAAGAGAAAAAGCAACATCATTATTTCCTCACGAAAGATACCTGTTATTACATACGCTGCATCACACTTTCATATTAATAGACATCAGACATATGGAAACAGAAGTGAAACTATCTTTTAGTCTCTCTTTCACTTCCTGATATCTGACAGCTAGAAGCAGCAGGTCCTCCTGCAGAAAGGATCCTAACTGAACAGGCTCCCTGCCCCAAAGAGGCAGCCATAAAGTTTTCAGAGCACTTTCTCCTTGGACTGACATAAGAAGGCCCAGAGATGAGCCCTATTCCTCAATTCTTTCTGAACCAGCCACAGTTCCCCCAAACAGTCCCAGCAGGAGCTCTGTCTGGCAGTGCTAGGACTCCATTAACTCTAGACAATTTACCATTTGCATACAACGTAATGGACAACATACCTGTTTCTAAACGTGATGAATATTGATACAGGAAATACAAATTCACCAAGTAGAGAAAACCTGTTCCAGGTCCCACTGGGAAGAAGAAAGTTGCCGTTATTGGCCGCCAGATCTGTACAAAGAAAAGGACATTTATACACTGCAGAATGAGATCATACACACACGGGTTATTACCTTTCACTTGCTAACAATTAACTGGAAGATTAAGAACTAGATTAAAAATAGCCCAAGTATCACCTACCACTGCTTCAGCAGCCTCAACAGTTGCTTCTTAATTTGATAAGCAAATCCATTAAGATTACAACAGAAATCCCACACAATTTTCCCAAGCGCTTCCATCACACCCACACAGCACCAAATCTTCACCACAGCGCAGAAGGGATCTGCTTGCAGGGATCAGACCCCATTTTAAAAGGGGTACAGAATCCACTCTGACCTGGAGGTTGCACAGGAGGAGCTCCCACAGCAACCTTCAGTGTGCATCTGCAGACAGCACAAGGTGCTTGGAACATTTGCGAGGCTCCTGAGAGTCTCTCAACCATCAGCACCGGGCACAGCTAAGTGCAGGGCAGCACACAGCCAGGACAGAAGGTGACTGCCTATCTTCAATGGGCATAAACACCTTCAATGGGCCGTGTAAACAGTGCATCAGAATGCTGAGTGTCACATTTCCATTGTAGAAGTGCAGAAAACTGTAATTTGAGGTATTAACTTTTGTGGAAGGCAGGTGAAGCTAACAGACGGCTGTTCTGCTTTTCACTCGAGCAACAATGCAGCCACGTACAGAAATGTAAAGGAACCTCCTCAACAGAAACCACGAAGATGAGGCCACAGAGTTATGCCAACTCCAAGCTCCACGGCCTTCCCGCCCACACAGGGTGCCAGGGGGGCCGTGTCACCTTGCCGGCCGCACTGCCCAACCGGTCCGCAGCCGGGCGCAGGCCAGAGCAGCGAGGCACGGCCGCTTTCCTGCTGCGAGGAGCTCCGCCCGCACCCCGCACTACAATTCCCAGCATGCCGCGCGCGCTCGGCCCAGGCTAGCCGCGGTGACGGCGCCGCAGGGCACGCCGGGACCAGTAGTGTGGCCCGTACCTGGAAGCGGTTGATGAAAGCGTCGGGCCAAAGGAAGAGGTAGACGGGGCTGACGAGACCCAGCTTGCCGATCAGCGGCACCGCGATGGAGCCGGCGAACCAGTAGCGGGTGATGAGCGGAATGCTCCGGAACCAGTCCCCCAGGTCCGACATGTCGCAGCCACCGTCGCCGCCGAGGACTCACAGGAACCGACGGCTGAGGGAGAGACGAGAGCAGCGCCGGAACGGCACAGCCCCGAGCCAGACGTGGCGCCGCCGAGTTCGGCCGACTCGCGCACTTCCGGCCCCGCCCCCAGCTGCCGTGAGAACTACAGCTCCCGGCATGCTTCGCGCTCGATTCGGGCTGATCCATTCCACTCTGGAAGGGGGGAGAACCTCCCGCCTTCTTCCCGCCGCTCTCCGTCGGCACGGGGGAACAGGGCTGTACCACGTGTGCGGCGCCCCCCGCGGCGGCGGCCGTTGAGGGAACCCCGAAGGGAATCGACGAGCGCGGGAGCGGCGGCGGCCGAGGATGCCGAGCTGCGATCTGGGCAGCCGGGAGCAGGGCTCCATCTGGCACCGCAAACCCAGCCCGGCGGCACGGGGCGGGTAACGGCGGGGCGGGGAGAGGCCCAGGGCACGGAGGAAAATGATCGGAGGGTGTTTGTCGGGCGGCGTTTGGCTGAACATGAGCCAGCGCTGTGCCCGGGTGGCCGAGGAGGCGCACGGCGCTCCGCATTGTGTCAGCAGCACGCGGCACCTGGAGCGGGGAGCTTATCTCTTCTGTACTCGGCTCTGGTAATGCTGCACCTCGAGTGCTGCGTTCAGTGCTGGGCCCCTCGCTGCAAGACAGACACTGAAAGCGTGGAGCGTATCCAGAGAAGGGCAGCGAAGCTGCGAGGGTCTGAAGCACAAATCTTATGGGGACGGCTGAGTTGTTCAGTCATAGAAGAGGAGGCTCAGGGAGACCTTATTGCTCTCTTCAACTGCCTGAAAGCAGGCTGTGCTGAGGTGGGAGTCAGCCTGTGCTCCCAGGTAACAGCGATAGGATGAGGGGAATGGCCTCAAGTTGTGCCAGGGGAGGTTCAGGATGGATGTTAAGAAAAAACTCTTCAGTAGGAGTGGTGAGGCATTGGCACAGGCTGCCCTGGGAGGCGGTGGAGTCGCTGTGCCTGCAGGTGTTCCATAGACATGGAGGTGTGGCACTGAGGGATGTGGTTCAGAGAGCGATGCAGGTGATAGGTGGACAGTTGGACTGATGATCTTAGTGGTCCTTCCCAGCTGTAATGACTCCAGCATTGCAGTAGTTTTTAGCTTGTGGATGTCAAATGTGTCTTGCTCAAGTTTTCCTTTTTTTCTTTTTTTTTTTCTTTCTCTCCATTAAGAAGATACCATGGCCAAATTCCCGCAATAGTTTAACTAAAATATTTTATTAGGAAATATCGGAAGAACACTGTCTGGTCCAAGGGGAAGAGCAGTAAGAATGCTGCTTTTGAGTGCCTACGTGGTGTTTGCCACAGGAAATCCGGGTGCAGCTCCACTGAATTAGTTCAGTGCCAAAGGAGCTCTAACACGACAGGGAGCAGTGCTGAGGAAGGCTGGGAGGTACTGGCACGACACTGATGGTGCTCCCACTTCAGGCTACTTTTAGAATCACAGGTCACGTGATATGTTTTATTGATGTTAATGATACTAACATCACAAACCTGTAATGACAATCTGAACAGCTAATTTGCTTTCCAGTTTCATTTTTATGGCCCTTCCCTCTTCTCCCAGAAAGGAATGGGTGTAGCAGGGCAAAGTGCTATTAGTTTTATCTTTGCTTTGCAGCAATAGCTGCATGGCCATACAGATGTGCATTTGCACTTGGTGTACACACCAGTACCTGCATACAGGCAGTGGTTATAGTGCTCTCCTGGCATTCAGTGACTCAGAGGTATCCCTATCTTACATGATGATAAGCCAGCATACAAGTTAGTGTCACACAATAATATAAATGAAAATCAGGTAGCTAGGAGCTACATAACAGGACCATGAGTGGTGAAATTCCTCCTGCCTGCTTTACTCTCTAGCATTTTTTCAACATAATGAATGATCTCCCTTGTTTAGTATATATTTTTTTATATTACAAAGACATATTTTTTATGGAAGATTCCTCACAGAACACTATGAATGGTTAGAATTGTAAAACAGTAATCTAGGGAGATTTTAATCTTAGGTCTTGGAAAAAATACATGGTTATAAAACAACTCAAAACAATTGTTTTGTCTGCTTTCTCCACAGAGTTGTAGTAAACATATTTCATAGTGCCACAGGATATCATTCCAAGGCAATACGTTTTCTGAATGTGGCTTTTGACAGTTCTGGAGATTCTCTGCTTGCTGGAGACCACCAAGGAAATATTTATGTTTTTGACCTGAATGGAAACAGGTAAGAATGTTTATACAATGCCATTTTAACTGTCCTGATACCTGCAACATTCAGGGGTGTGAAAGTTACCTGTCGCTGTGCCATGGGTTTTTAACCATTAGCTTTCCATGACTGTGCAGATGGTGGTTTTCTCAGAGCTGAAGCTGCAAGCCACTATTTCATGTGGTTCCCTGTGTGCTATTGTATTAGTTTAGCTGCTGCAAAGGATAAGATCTTTGTAACTAAGCTGAACAAACAGCGATTTCATAGAACTTCGGTGATGGAAAACTACCAGAGGAGTTGTGGTGTCAATTAATAATACAAGCAAGGAATTACAACAGCCTAGTATTGTCATTTACAGAAATACATGCATATCTTTTCAAGTGTGTGCTTTCAACTTAGCACTGCTACCTACACGCAGTATAAGAAGATACGATTTCTTTTCTCTCTTCTTTTGAGTTCATTTTTCTCTGAGTGCAGCATATATTGAAACTGATTAAGGTAATTCCTCACTTGGCATTATGAGCCAAAGCTTCCTAACACAATGAGAACATGTATTTTCAAATAGGTTCAAGCTTGTTCAGCGAACAATGCAGGCTTGCACTGCTTTGGCATTTAATCTTCGCAGAAAGACAGAATTCCTGGTGGCTTTGGCTGATTACTCTGTGAAGTGCTTTGATACAGGTAAGGAGAAATGTAAAGCCTTAATATGTGGATTGTTACTGTCTCATTTAAATTTTGATTTTAGTGTGACAGTTTGCAACTGATTCCGTTTAAAACTATTTTTGCAGTAATACATGTCAACTAATTGACTGTAAACACTGAAATAACTGTCAGTTGTTTTGAGAATGCTGGTAGATCTGTATCCTTATTCAGAAACAGCTTCTAAATATTAACGTCATAGGCTAGCTGTGTGCCTCTGAATGGATTAAATGGGGAAGGGCATTGACAATTCATTTTTTTTAAAGTAACCAATCAAAAATTCCAGCTGTAGTGTCTTGTATTGTCCGGGCTTACATCTTTTTAAAAAACTTTAGGAGTCACTTGCCTGCAATTGGAAGGTCTGAGTATGATATTATTGGTGCAGTTTTTAAAGCAACAGTGTTCCCCAAAATAGAGGAAGAGAAGAAAAATAAGGCCTGAAATCCTCTGTGCTTTTTCTTCAAAAATAGTAAGGTCAAACTTAGTTTTCAGGTGCACTTTGAGAAATTTTTCTTACTTACTTAGAGAAATCCTTAGCAGGAAGTTTTTCACACAGAGGGTGGTGATGCACTGGAACAGGTTGCCCAAGGAGGCTGTGGATGCCCCATCCCTGGAGGCATTCAAGGCCAGGCTGGATGTGGCTCTGGGCAGCCTGGTCTGCTGGTTGGTGACCCTGCACACAGCAGGGGGGTTGAAACTAGATGGCCATTGTGGTTCTTTTCAACGCAGGCCTTCTGTGATTCTATGATTCATTCTATGATCTCACAGTCCTGCATTTTGAGATAGTGCTGTTTCCAGATACCAAATCACACTGAAGAATGTCTTTGAGTATAGACATCCTTCCTATAAGTACTACTGGATGGACTATCCTTAGCAAAGTATTAGATAATAGTGAGGGCCATCCCCTAATTTAGAAGCCATTCTCTGTAATCCCATGGTATGCTCTCATCTGGCAACAGCTTGAAACACTCCAATGTCTGTAAGCACAGCAGAAAGTTTGACTGTTAGTCTGTGTGAGCTGCTTTACAGCCATTTCCCATCTTTGGTGCCATAGCAGTCGATCAGCTGGAGCAACCCCATGGTCAGTCAGGTAAAACAGCTGATGTAAGTAAGTCTTGCCACTAATAGGGTTAGTTGCTGAGGAAAGATTAGTGGTCATGCATTCACAAGTGAGAAATCATGCAGTCAGAGGTACTATTTCCTGAATATGTATTACACAGCATAAAAATGCTTCGGACTCTAAAACAGTTAATGAGGTGTTGCTTTCTGACTCTGCTTTCCTGTAGTCACAGCCCATTGTCATTAAACTTTTTTTTCCTTGCACCTGTAAATAGCTGCCTAATCACTCATACAAACTGTCCACAAGTTAAAACAAGTGGGGAACACTAAGCAGAACATTTGGTCTCAACTACTTGATATTTCTGCTGATGTTCTCATCAAATAATCAGCCCACAAGGTATGCTTACTTTACTTGATTGCAATGTTCATGACTTCTTAAGATTGATTCTTGGGCTAAATTAAACGAGTCTGTGCAAGTTGGATTTCTCTGGAGAACTGCGAATAAAACCTGTCACTTAGAGATGAGAAAGTTGTTTCTCTGTGGTATAATAAATGAAGACTTTGTTTCTTGTTTGTTGGATTGCAGTGATAAATGGTCGTATACCAGGTATGATTAAAAGTCACCTTTACAGCATAGTGCTGTACGAGGTGTAAAGTGGTACAAAAAGTAAAGTAGTAGTCATTGCCTTTTGAATGATCTTCATGTTCTTCTTTCTTTTCATCCTGCAGAAACTAAGGAACTCATTAGTTGGATGAGAGGCCACGATTCTTCGGTGTCTTCCATCTCTGTCCATGGCTCAGGCAGATATGCCATCACCACCTCCACTGATACAGCACAGCTGTGGGACTTGGACACCTTTCAAAGAAAAAGGAAGCTTAATGTTCGTCAGTCTGTGGGTATACAGCAGGTGAGTAAAGAGCAATTGCTAAAGGATAAAAAAACATACCTCAGGAGGAGTAACACCACACATTAAAATCACAGTGCTTGAAGACAGAGGGAAGATACATGAGGAGCAGCTGAAGTCACCGAGTTTGTTCAGCCCAGAGGCACTGGAAGCTGAGGAGAGGCATCATGGCAGCTGCAGCTTCTCGTGGGAGGGGTGGAGGGGCAGCACTGAGC